GTGCATCTGATGATGGTATCAAGCAGGGCATAGCTCCACCAGCACAAACGATGTTTTGCTTGCCTATACTCGTAGTATATAGTGCAGCCATATGTCCCTTCAGCTCTTGGGATAAATCTGTGCACACAACACCTGAGTTTCCCCCTTTCACCTGCCCCAAACCCCAAAGAAATCCTTCTAAATCCTGAACCCTTTTCTTTGTGTCTGTTCCTCAGCCCATACTCCTCCCTGCACTCAGTCCCCTCCTCTCTCATTAATTTCCCAGTCCAGAAAAGGCCATGTTCTCTTGTCTGAACTTTGGAGCAAATCTTCCTGCCTCCAGTAGAAAATGAATCATGGTTCCTATCGCTGATCATTTCCAAGGTATGGCTGACACGGGGTTCATGTAAGCAAGATGCAGGTCTGCGCGGAAGACTGCATCCTCCTTTCACTGGCTTGCTGTTGTTCCCTTTTTAACTTTGCGTCTTGGAAGGCATGCGTGCTCTTTTAAGTGTTCCCAGCTGTGTTGGTGCTTTCTGTGCCGGAGTCCGTCACAGGATGTAATTGTTGTTTGTCATGGAAAAATCCTTCATGGTCTCTGACATTGACTGGTGGGGGTGCATTTTGTGAGCTCCTGGAAGGAGCTGGCTTGTTCTCCTTGAATGAAGAAAACCCCCCTTGCGTTTTTCTGGTAGCAGCTAAACATGTCAGATTGAATCTTTCTTTTCCATGGCTTCCCTCTGGGTATAAAGTCTGGAAAATTGAGCTATAGCAGCACACAGAACAATCAGCATTACCTTATTTATGCCACCGGTAAAAGGTAACCACGTGCGAACTGTTGAAAACTCAACTGTATTTAAATAGACTAGTCCTAGGTAGATGGGATATTTGAAATATGTATTTTTTTTGTCTGGGTTTTCATTTTCTTTTTTCCTTGTGAGAAATGTTTTGTTCTGCCTTGACCTTTCTCCCTGCGCTGATCTCAATGCTCGCCTTGACAGAAGTCACTGGGGGGGAAAAAAGCATTTTAGGGATTTTGGTGAAATAAAGCATATTGTAATGTCACCTTGAATTTGGAGTGGCTTTGTTGCAGGCTATAAATATCAGCAAGGCAAGAACTGGTTTGTATGCAGGCTTGAAAAATGCACCAAGCATCGCCTAGCTGGAGTTCAGATGTGAAAGAATAGACTGAAGGACACCGATGAAGTCCAAGGGCAACATCGTGCTGCATAGCCTACTTCTCCCACCATCTTTCTGCGCCAGCCCTGGTTACCCGAATGGGGAAA